AAGCGACAGCGAAACGTGCTCATGGGGCGGCTCACATATCTGGTAGCGTCACAGCAGATGATTATCGTGAAGCTGAAATTGACATATTGCGTCAAACCCAAAAGGAAAGCTTTCCTACTGAGTTTTCTAAGCTCAAATCAGGCCAAACGGTTGGACCTAGTAGTCGTTTGTACCGTTTGGATCCACAGTTTGACCAATCCATGGAACTCATCCGTGTGGGAGGCCGCCTGAGACGTGCTTCTGAACTTGAAGAAGATTCCATCCACCCCTTTGTTCTCGAATCCCATCATCCTGTGACAGAATTAATCATAAAGGATATCGATGACCAGCTTCACCACCCAGGGACAGAGAGGGTATTTGCTGAAATAAGGAGAAAATTTTGGATCCTTCGGGGCAGGGAGGCTGTTCGGCACTATCAGCGACATTGTGTTGGCTGCAAACGATGGAGGGGGAAACCTGTCGCTCCCCAAATGGCTGATTTGCCACCATCCAGACTCAGACTGTTCAAACCTCCTTTCTACTCTACAGGAGTAGACTGCTTTGGACCTTACATTATCAAGATTGGCAGAAGACATGAAAAGCGGTGGGGCATCATATTCAAATGTATGACCACAAGGGCTGTACATGTAGATCTGCTGTCAAGCCTTGATGACGACTTGCTCTTGTTGGCACTGAGATGTCTGAAAGCACGCTGAGGAAAGCCCTATGAAGTACTTTGTGATCAAGGGACAAATTTTAAAGCTGGAGAATGTGAACTGAAAAATGCGTTCAGGAGCCTTCAGCCACAAATCCAGGAACAGCTGGCTGGTCAACAAATAGACTTCAGATTCAACCCTCCAGGAGCACTGCACTTCGGTGGGTGTTGGGAAAGGGAAATTAAATCCCTGAAATCAGCCCTAACTACAATTTTGGGTGCCCAAATCGTGACAGAAGAGGTCTTGCGCACACATTTGGTGGAAGTTGAAGGAATACTTAACATAACCACTCAGTTATGTTTCAACAGATGTAGCTGACCCAGATCCTATCACTCCTAACATCTTATTGATGGGGCGGCTAGATCCATCTCTTCTTCAAGTTAAATACCCAGAAGAAGAGATTACTGGTCGGAGGAGATGGAGATTTAGTCAAGTGTTAGCTGATTACTTCTGGAAACATTTCCTCAAGTTTTACCTGCCAGGGCTCCAGGTTCATAATAAGTGGGAAGAGCACATTGAAGACCAGCAAATTGGAACCATTGTGATGATAGCAGACCCATAGTTACCATGAGCTCTTTGGCCCACTGGATTGATAAAAACGGTTTTCCCTGGAGCAGACGGAAGAATTCGCACAGCTGAAGTGCAGGTCTAAGAGCACAACTATATTCGCCCAAGTAGTACGTCTAGTGACGCTGCCAGAAGTTCCAGATTAAAGGGCCGATCTTCAGTAAATATTTTCCAAGCTGCAAATTATCATAGATAATTTGGGTGCGGCTGTGGAAAACGCCATAAGTTCGCCTTGTAGGCTTGTCTGGACTGTGACTGGCTGGACAGCCTGTCAATCATGGTTGACAACAACCTATCAACAACCTGTAATATGAAAGCCGTTTTTGCACTGCAAGGAACGGAACGGAACGACACGCTTCGGTCCGGTTCCACCTGTACTGCAGCCCTGTTGTGTTTGCATATAACTGAGGGCGGCATCGAAACTGTACCTGACGTCATTATTTTTGAAACTAAACAATGGCTTCGATGTAGCCGGCCGAAGTCTTTTCCTCAAAGATGCAGCGGAAAACTTTCTCTTTCCTCATTGACAGATCTAGTTCATTATGTACTCGTTCATCAGGGAGGAAAAAAATTACCCATCATGGGACCAGGTAACAGCAGAATATTGAGAGGAATTCATCGCAAATTAAAAAAATAATAAATAAAAATGTTAAAAAGAGCACTCTTTACAAAATACAGTAAGAACAGTTTAGTGAGAGCCAACTAGACCCGATCAACGGCTGTCTGCAAAACAACCAACGGCTGACTCTAAACCAATCAGCTGCTGAATTCTAAGCAGCCCCATTTGGCCGGCCGATTGGAACCACAGCTCTTGTGGAGCCGGGTGCTGTCAGGCGTTTTTTTACGCATTTTCTGTTCATGCCTCAAGTTTTCACTGATCTCATAAAATGCTGTAATATGAAACTGTTTTTAAAAGTAATTCTTTAGCTTTTAAGTCGGAAGTTCTAATGCAAACACGGTTGGCCCTACTTTGAACCTGCGCCATGCTGTGCCGTTCCTTGCAGTGCGAAAATGGCTTTAATGTGCTGGAACTTTCTAGAACGGGTTTTTTTGTAGTAGTTTTGCAGTAGTTCAACAGCTTACCAACTGTATTATTAAAGAGGAGTTATAAATGTGATGTTTGCTGATGGTTTAGTTTCGTTTGCATCAAGAATTGTAAGTTGAGCGATAATAAAAGGATGCGACATCTTTGAACGGATGCCTGCATTTTTTTCTGATACAAATCACTACGCCCTTTAGTTCACCACACATAAAAACTCCACACCCAAACATCGCAGGTGAGGATCATGGTGGACACTTGGTGGAAAGTAATTTTACGACACAGAATGTTCTATCTAAATGACACAGATCCCTTGGTCTCCTTCTCTGTATAATCGGGATGCTGTTAAACCTGCGGAAATATTTTTATTTTTGTCTCTTTTCATCTGTATGTGGTTAAACTTAACTGCAGTGTATCAGGAGAGTCTCACCTGGGTAGTAGCTTCACTAATGAAGGATTGCATTTTGCATTCCAACACCTGACTGTGACTTCTCCCCGGCAGAGTTCCAGCAGATCCATTGTATGAATGAATAGTTCTTGTCTGAGGAGACAAGTCTGGGCTGTAGTCTTCTAGTGACGAACTGACTTCTTCATCAGTATTAAAAAGGGAGTACTGATTCCTGGTTTTGATCTGTGATGCAGTACTTTCCCTGTAGCCTTGGTTAGATGATTGTGATATCACCCCAAGTTTGCGTGTACGTTTGCAGTTCACCACTTCAAAATCAGTTATGTCCTGCTGGGTTTGACAGTGATCCATCTTGTTAGGAATAGTGAAACTTCCCTTGACACAAGGAGGGAGAGGGGCCTTTCGTTTGATGCGACGCAAAAGGATCAAATAAATACAACCACCATTCCAGCACTGATCAACCAGGTAGCTGTAAAAAAAAAAAGAAACAGACTTAGTATCTACAAAACTATTCTGTTTTCGTCAAACACATTACATATTAACAAAACCATTCATTTTCAAGTAAAGTTTTATTGTCCATTCAAGAAAAAATTGACAAACTGCTGCAAAGTTCCCTGTAAACAACTAACTAAAGTGAGCATGCAGCACCACCAGCAGCTAGCAAAATATTCAATCTAAACTCACTTGGTAGATATAAAGGACAAAAGTGCTCAGGATACAGAAACATCAGTGAAGTCTACGCCAAATACCCTTCTGTTAATAATCACTATATCCCCTCTCCCCAACTGCAATTAACTCTTGCTGTGCTGCCTCTGTCTGCCTAACTGTCTCAGACAGGCACCCTTCACACTGGATTGTGACCACTTCACAATCTGCATAAGCACACAAACTGGGCAGCATTGCAAAAAAATTTGAACAGCTTCATTTCAGTGTGAAAGTTGTGTTAGACTCTTTGTAGTAATAGATTTTCCAGTGTTATTTGCTATTGTTCAACTATAATGTACGGTGGCCCTGAGGTGCAACATTACAGAAACACAATTACAAATTACAAAATCACTACAACATTAACGAAAACACGACATTAACAAAAACAGAACAACATTAACGAAAACACAACATTAACGAAAACACAACA